ACACATACTACACACACACATATATATATATATATATATATATATATATGCATGTGTGTATTTGTTTATTTATATTTAGTTAATGTAACATAGGTATACTACAGCGTTTTTGATATAGGTGCACATACGAGGTTGTGTGCTAAATACGTCTTGCACCCTGTTCATTATAAAATTGAAATAACATCTCACACGCTCGCATCTTATGTGACACGTCACAAGTATCAGTTTAACGACCTTCGCCAATCTATTCATTCTTATCGAATTCTTGTTCACCGTAGTTCACCCCTACGGAAAGGTCAACTTTGCGGCTGACCGCAGTGAGTTTTTAAAGACCACACAATTGCTCAAGAAAACACTGGAGCGGTTCAAGCATGTGGGGACACTGACTTCCAACCCAACAAAGCTATTAGTGGCCTTAAAGGTATTGAGAGTATTGGTCGATGCTGTAGTCAGATTAGAGTAGCCAGTGGTAGGGGAGATGGCATTATCCACACTCAATATGTTACGCTACTTGCCGGCTGGGACTGTGTGTTCGGTCGGAGTCAGTAGGTGTGGAAACACTCAAGGGCGAATATTATAAATGGCGTAGTTGATCCAAAGAAGTGTTGCACAATATATCGACGCTGACAACTCACCCTGGAAAGCGGTTTGTTGCAACTTCAATTGGAAATAGTTCGATTGCTATCGAAAGAGTACGCGTAGAGATGCATTAGCGAGTTTGTACGTTGTGCATAACTCATGCTGGAATATAGTCTACTACTTCAACAATCCCAACCATCATCCATACTACCAAGAAGGGATGACAAAGTGAGAAGGACCCGTTACGTGCTTGTTAACATAAGCTCAACAGACACCCTTTGATCGTGGGTATCTAGCTGTTTCCATTAGACCTGTTGGTCGGGTGTGGCATGGCTTGTCGTACTGTCACTCATTCCGCAACCATTGCTTATTGGCACTGCGGTACCTACTATGAGCATAACGTACACAAATCTTATAGCTCTCACTAACACCTTGGTAGTTTGCATGCTGGGTGCCTGTTAAAGTTAGACTGTGTGGACTAATACTGGAGTGGACTAATACTGAAGGTTCAGACTCTCCAACGTATACTGTAGACGTGGTGCATGCTACTGCGTTCAGTAGTCCTCTCCACTACTCGAGCGGGGCCACCCTCGGCAGAGTGACCCAGAATCGGTCTCTTGCATTTAGTATATTAAGTTGATATTCGACCAATCTCCGGCTTCTTTCTACTTCCAATACTCACTTACATAGTGTCTGTTCTGTGGTTGGGTAGTATAGCCAGCCGTGGGATTATGTTTTGCGCCTCCCCAGAGCCTTTTGATCGGTCACTTGATATGGCGCTAAGGATGAACACGGAACAGATATCCTGCACGCCGCACTTCTGCAAGTATCAATTACTACTATCAAGCAGTGCTTTAACCCGACTCACAGTACTGCAACAGAAACACTACCTGATCCTGATGTTATAGACCCTGGCCTTCTATGGCCAGAGATGCTATCTCTCCATTAACATGTCTATATCTCGGGTGGGCCATGGATTTTAAACACGGTATCTACCTGACCTATTAATCCTTCCTCTGCAAATCCAATTCAAATCCAATTCCAACTTCGCTCGTCGGGGTTTCAGGATAAAGCCGCGGCCGAAAGCTCGCTTGAGCGACTCAAAGCAGCGGTGACCAAATGCAAATCACTCATAGACGAAGGGAAGGGCAGGCTCACTGTGTTCACGAGCAAAGAGATTCTCAGTCGGCTACAGGCTATTTCTAAGACTTACAGGTCAGTTTGGTGTGGGGTGGATGTATGTGTGTGTAGTGCATTCTCAGTCGGTTACAAGCTATTTCTAAGACTTACTGACCACAGGTCAGTTTGGTGTGGGATGGGGGTGGATGTATGTATGTGTAGTGCTCATACTGAGATAAGTAGAGCGACAGCCTCTGCCAATTGCAGGCTATTTCTAAGACTTACAGGTTAGTATGGTGTGGATGTGTTGATGTATGTATGTGTAATTCTCTTACTGGAGATAAGCAGATCGAGCCTCTGTCGAATACAAGCAATTTCTAAGTCTCCAAGTCAACAACTGGGTTTGCCAAGTCAACAACCTGGTTTGCCAAGTCAACAACCTGGTTTGCCAAGTCAACAACCTGGTTTGCCAAGTCAAACTATGTACACACACGTGTGCAGATGTATGTATCACGGGTGCTATGCAACGGTTCCATAGGACAGGTTGGAGCGGGGTGTGTGTACGTACCTGCTATTGGTGTCACTGCAGACCGTAATCCCAAGAAAAACCTCAGCCCTGCCTATCAAAAATGTGTTGATTAACACTAGTGTATGTCTGTAAAGAGTTCGCGAAACATTCGAAATTTGCGTTACGCCTATGTATACCATCGCATATGTATATCATCGCATATGTATACCATCGCATATGTATACTATCGCAAGCCGCAACAGGGTCACTTGCAGTTCGCTTGCAGATAGAGAGATATATATACGGGCTAGCTCGACTTCGCCCCACATTACTGTGTTTTTCAATATAGACTTGTTCGTTGTAAAGATTATGAAATGCAATATACATTTGTCCGTGTCTATCGTTGCTTAACACAATACGTCGATTCATGTATATATATATATATATATATAGTAATTACATGTTTATATTTGTATATATACATATATATATATATATATATATATATATAGTTTATATATATCTATATACATATATATATATATATATATATATATATACATATGTATGTATTATATA